CCATCCCTGGAGGTATTTAAAAGACGTGTAGATGTATTGCTTAGGGACATGGTTTAGTGGTGGATTTGGCAGTGCTAGGTTTACGGTTGGACTTGATGATCTTAAAGGTCTTTTCCAACCTAAACGATTCTATGATTCTATGTCAGTGTTTTAGAGGGTTAAAAAGCAGTAAGGAGGAGTAAGAAGAAAGGAAAATTAATAGTGGTAGAAGTATTGTAATGTTAGAGCTTCAAAAAGTAGCTTTGAACAAACATTTATCAAAATATGTGCGTTCAGCCAAAATTAGCTGAAATTCAGCTAAAATTAGTACTCTCTTCTGTTGAGAAATCTTGTCTGGGTCAAACTGGAGGATTGCACCAGCTTTCTAAAATATAGGAGAACTTCTTGCGAGTCTGCTGCTTGTGAGGTATGTCACTGGCTGATGTAAGCCCTGTACGTCTGACTGGATACGCTGACGTATCCAGCTCTGGATATGTCTCGCTTGCTATGTGTATTTCAATCAACCACATCATAGGCAGAATATGGGACTCTTGTGACTCAATAAACACAAATCTCTGTGTGTATGTATTCCCATATATTTTATCGGAAAGAATAAAATACTTTAAAAGAAGAAATTACACTTAAAAGTGAATTTTCAATGTTTGATTTTAATATTAGCATTTGTTAAAAAAAAATTGGTACCATAGTCTTGCTGTAACAAGGCATATTTTTTTAACAGAAATGGTTGAAAAAGATAAACTAATGTGGAGAAATCTGAATAACAAAATTCATGGCCATGAAGCTGAAAAAATAACTATATGAAAGGGGGAGTGCAATAATAAAGTAGGCTGAAATGGTTATAATTTTCAGCAGTCACATGGCACTTCAAATTATTTAGATCGCTTCCATAGCCCTTTATTTAGATCCCTTTAAGCTTAAAACTTAAGTTTTGCAAAGTTTTGTATTTTTGCATTATCTCAGTCAGTCTTCGCCTCCTTTATAATCCAGAACTAAAAGGGAAGGTAAGAAGTGTCTGAACTTCTTACCTTTATAAGCAATTTGTAACTGTAAGTTTGAATTAATGTGTGAGGCTTCATTTAAAAAAAAAAAATTGAGAAAATGTTGGGGAAATGGTAAATATGTTCCTTCATTTTCTAAAGTAATTGCATGTGCTGAGTGAGATCTGTCTTGGTGTTTCATTAAGAAAAGTCATGCAAATTAGTTTGCAAAGTCTTCTGCTGCCTCAGAATTTATTTAATTTTTTTTTTTTGTAAAATCCTCTGAAGTGCTTTTCTACATCAGATGATACCTTCAAAAATTGTAAGCCTTTTAAGATTACAAATGCAAGGAAAAATTACGTCCATTTTCACAAAGGGAGATCTAACAGTGTGAAAAGATGGGGAATCCCATCTAGTGATCCAGTTGGAATAGAGCTGAGCTCCACTGCGGAGGTGCTGTAACCAGGGAAGAGTAGGGTATCAGCCATGTGTTTTTACTGCACATGGGACAAGCGGTGCCTAATGGGTTGGGTTTCTGGTTGTTTTCTGGTTGTTTCTGGTCTGCTCTTACCTAGCATGAGCAGGCACCAGACAAATGATTCGGGCTGCTTGGGGAGGGTGGCAGGTCAGCCTTGCTGCTGCAGAGCTGAGCCCTGGGGCACTGCGTGGGATTGCCCCTGAGGCCAAGACAGTCGAAACCAGCACCTCTTTTGTAAGATCAGGAGTGAGCTGTCCTCCTGGTTCCGCCAGTGCGAGCTTTTAGCATGTTGCACGTTCTCAGTGAGGATGCAGCAGCTTCCAGGAGGAGAGTGAGTCAAAAGGCATGACCTTAAATCCGTGCTTCTGGCAGCTGGAGTACGGAGAAATGAACTTGAGGTTGTAGGAATAATTGCTGTTGATGATTTACTGTGTGGTAATGGATTAAAGGCATCCTGTTTCCTATCAAGATCTTAAGGCATTACAAGTTGTTGTGACCTTTATATTATGGTTTCCAGTGGTATAAAAGTAAATCTCAGTGTGAAAATAGGAATGGGTGTGAAACACATGTATAAACTCTGTCCTTTTTTTCTTCTTCACCCTATGAGGAAAGCAACAGTGGACCATTCCCTGTTAACTGGGGCAGCATTTCCACTCCAAAGCAAGCTGCTCATTATGTGTTTACTGCAGCCTGCAATTTGGGAATCCCTCTTCTTTATATGGGAGACACTTAAACATCTAAATGCTTTTTTTCTGTAGTTTTGTAATGTTGCATTAGTCATAATTGGATACTTACATGAAAAAGCTACTTGAATAAATATTTTAGTCACCTCTATTACTGACATCTGTAATAAAACTTTGATTAAAAAAACCAAAAATTTCGTTTCTAACCAGGCAGAATGCCTTTTGAAGCACAGATTGGGAGCCGAGAATATTACTGCCTTATCTATAATGAAGTGGTCCAAATAACGTAACAGAAAAGAAATCTGAGGGTTCCCATATGACATATTTTCCTCAGTCTGTTCATATTTAGGAATTGGATAGCAAAATAATAGGTCATTCTGTGTATTGGAGGGAGATGGAAGGGCTCGGTTTTGCAAACATACATGTGTATATCCTGATACCATTCAATAGAAAGCTGGGATCTTGGTCTCAAAAAAGGGGTATACATGCCAAAGTGCCAGAATTATGTCTTAGGACAAACGTAGAATTGTTGAGTAAAGAGAATTTTTGTATTTTCTGGCTAATGGTTAAATGCGTATAGTGGAGAGGTATGAGGTACCAAGTCATCTTACCTGGGATGCTCTTGTCTGTTTAAATAGAAGTAATTTTTAGGCTCAGTTGATTTAAAACTTTCGACCATGGTTTTAAAGGAATTTACATACAGATGTGTCCTGCACTGTGATGTTTGTCTCCTTTAAAAAAAATGAAACTTGAGTACTTTTTGTAAATTAGGCGTAAGATCCTATATGTGAGCGTACACTGTGTGCAGCTGCGCATGGCTTAGAGTCTCCCAGTTGAATTCAACCCTAAACGTGCTGGATTTGCTTGGCTGCTTTTCTTTGTAGCGTTGTAACAAGAGTACTAACAAATCGGGCCCTGCATCTGATTAGAGCACCAGCAATGACACTCCAAAATTTCTCCTCTATACTCTTTTGGTTGGTTTAGGTACAGGACATCTGAGCACTGTAGCCTGAAATATAAGTAGATAATGCTGGGGGCAGCTGCAGGTTGGTTTTTTGCAGTGTCCTTCTGGTCTTGGAGGGGAAAATAAAAAGCCCTTTCCTTCCAGACAACTGGAAAATGGGGAAATATGGGAAAATGGGATACACTTCAAAAAACTCAAACATTTTCCAAGAACTTCATCAGAGAGTTGTGTACAAAAATGCTTATCTGCAATGCTTCCAAGTACTACTTTTTGTAAAAGTTAGATATTATGTTGCATCATTTGGAATAGCATTGTTTCATAGAATAAAAATCTGGAAACATAATTTATGCAATACTATTCCTCGTAATACACCCCCCCCCATCTTTCCAAATGAATCATTTTCATGTCAGGTGAATTTCTGTTTTTGCAGCGCTGTGGTGTTCTCTGTTAGGAGTGTGTAAAAGTGGGGCAAGTACCAGTCTGTATACTTGCTACTTGATAGCAAGTAGCCAGCTGAGCTATCTGGCCCTTTGAGCAAGAATCAGCACTTAGCTTGGTTCAAATTCAGACCTTTCACTTAGGCTGCAGATATTAAGGCTACAGGATTTTATTCAACTATGCTGCATATACCTGCTTACGGTATAATTATAACCATAAGCTGAAGACTGTAAATATAATTCAGAAACAAGGTACTCTCTTTAAATGTGCTTTCCTGTAGTATTTTGACCACTGTCTGAACAATGGTTGATGTACCGGGGTGGGCTTTAGTCTAAAAAATAAAAAATAAAAAAAAAATTAAGCAGCTCTTTTAATCTGATTTTGTAGGGCAGATTAAGACTGTTGCTTAGATCTTTTACAAAGATAAGATGGCTTAGTTGTTAATGATCTTTCTCCCTGTGTGAAGTGATATATGTGAAAAATAAAACAGAAACATCACTTTGATTAAGAACAAAATCCTTTTGATAGTTCCAGTGATGTAAGTATATGGTTGATATCGGCAACCACCATCTGGGGTGTTGAATGATGTTTGTTTCATTAGCTCTGCTATTATTTTTTTTTTTTTATTGTTGGCTGCTGAAAACCTGCAGGTCTATGAGTTTTGATAATGACGTTTGCTCTCTAAAGGCTGAATCAAAGCACTTAATGTTGTGGGTGCAATATATGCTGAAAGGTCCTGTTTTTTTGTTCTGTTTAGCCTACAAGCCCCAAGTTTGGAAAAGCAGACTCATATGAAAAACTGGAAAAGCTAGGGGAAGGATCTTATGCTACAGTATACAAAGGGAAAAGCAAGTAAGTGGTGGTTTGTTTCATTTAATTTTGTGTGTAAATGCAGATAAGCAGAAGGTATTAACTGATGTTGCTGCGCTTGTACAGAGATCCCCATGAATGAATGCAGACTGCTACTGACTGCCATGTGCTCTAGTGAAAGAGGCTGAGACCGTATTGCGTAGGTAACATACTACCTTCACAGCAGAACAAGATGAGATCCTGTCTTGTTAATCTGATGTTTTGTTTGTACTTTAATGTTGTACTACTTTCTCAATATCCATACCAAATTAAATGTAAGATATTTGATTTTTAGGGGTAAGAGCACAATATACTGTCAAGTAGATTTCTCTGATGTTCTGAGAGCAATGCTGAATATATGCAATGAGTTTGTTAGTCTTTTGTTTGTCATTATTAAAAAGCTTGAATAAAATAACATGAAGGCAATGAATGTAATTTTGCAGTACTGTAAGTTCATTTTGTTTACAAGAGTTTATTTACAATCGTTGCAACTACTCCACCTCAAAATAATCTACTGTCTACATGTCAAATGTTTATTGTTTTCAGCCACTTTAAGGTTATTTGTTGCAACTTTTTTTATCCTCAGTGCTCTAAGTGCTTCTATATTGTATAAAATAACTCAGTAAACAAACTTAAAATATACTTCTTGAGCTAATGCTTCAAGTTAGCATTAGATAAATCTCAGCTGAGATTTATCTTTTCAAGAGCAGTGTCTTGTGCAAGTTCATGTATTTAATCAAGTTTTCATAATCAAATTTTCAATAATAATAAAGCAGTTCTGAGAGAGGGATCAGGTACGTGCAATATCTTTATTTAAAAACTTTGTCTAGTGAATGAGAGATGAGGCAACTTACTGTTCTCAGCAGAGAGAATATCATGACAGTCATGGGACAGAATGACTGCTGAAACAAGGAAATACGTGTTAACATTTTCCAGGGTCATTAAGTTAGGTAGGTACTGAAAATTATTTTTTCACTGAATATTTGTAATAAATCAGAATGAGGGGTGTCCTCATCTCTCAGTAGCTTGAGATTGATGAGCATAATGACAGCTGATATGAATAAAAACATGTTCTAAATGTAAAAGAAGTATTTACACATCTGCCATGCCAGTCCATGTATCGTCTTTCACTGGCAGCTTTCTTCAAGAAAATGCAGTTACGTTGTATTGTTAATGGTTCAGTTACGCATCAGCATAAGTTCCAGACATTATACATATGTAAGCTTTTTATTGGGGTCTACGTAATATGAGAAAACCATATAGATTTCAGCTTGTGCCTTATTACTAAAACCCTTTAAAAATCACAGCACGTATCTGGTGATAGTTATCCCATATGCCTTGGCTTTCAATAAGATTGTATTAAGGCAACAGGGTTGCTAGATGTCCCGTCAATCAGTGGAATAGACTGAAAGTTAAAGCAAAGCGCTTCCCTGAAACTATTTCATTCAGAAGTGATTTGTGAACGTGTTACAAAACATAGATTGGTTGGAAATATTCATTTGTTTTAGTAGAGATGACTGCAGATCTGTAAGAAATACTTCAATGATTTTAATGGTAGTCGAATAATAAATTGAAATTACTGGGCTCTCTGCATTCTCCATTATAAATAGCAAGCTCTGAATAAGTAGTGTGAATTATAACAATTATATATAACTTTATTCTGCTGCTTCGTAACATCTTTTGCAACGTCTTTAAAATGTATTTTGAAAAAAGTGTGTGTAACTAGACGGGGCTCTGAGCAACCTGATCTAGTTGAAGATGTCCCTGCCCACGGCAGGGGGGGTGGACTAGATGACCTTTAGAGGTCCCTTCCAACCTAAACTATTCTATGATTCTATGATTCTATAATGCATATGCAGAGAATATTCCTAATGTTACAGTAATATTCCTTCACCTGCTTAATTTTGTTTGGCTTACTTTTTTTTCCCCGCTGAGAGTTTAATAATTCCCATATTACACAGCACTGTCCAGATTCAGCACCTCCAGTCCAGACTTCTGTTTCTTGAGCTAAAGAAACAGTTGAACTACTTCACAGCAGGAAGAGGTTATTCCTTAAGAACAGATAGCTACAGGGGCTATCTGCTATTTCTAAAGGAGTTGTTGGTTGAGGTAATGTGGCCCTGTTACCTCTTCTGTCCCCGTGAGAAACTTGAGTAGTCTCTGGCCTGGATGATATACCCAAAGAAGAGAGAGCATCACTGCTACCACGTAGTATTGGGGAAGACAGATGGGCGGGGGGGCGAATAGATGGACCAATGTTGGCTCCGGCCATTCCATGAGAGCCTAACTTTGCTGCTGCTTTTCTGGCAGATTGGCTCTGACTGTTTATAGCTTTATCTAAAATGATACAGGAATAGATACAAAAATTTTTTTCTAGCACCTGATGTAGGTACGTAGGGTGAGACTGTGATACGCATCACTGTGTTCCCCTGGCTACAGGCTCAGTGGGAAGAAAAATGAGCAAAACGGGTCAAAAGAGGGCTGTTTGTTTTGGCATGTGCCCAGTTTTGACTGCTGAAGGATTAAGCCCTTCGTGGACACCGCAGAACACAGATATGATCTGTATTTGGAAAAGCTGGTAATACTTGCACAACAAGTGTGTTTTGGTCAAAATGTTTGAGAATCCCTGATTCTCAACCAATTCTAATGCTTGGCTTTCTCATTTTGCCAAAATGTTTCTGAGATATGTCCTTAACTGTAGTGGAAGATGGAGAATTTAACATCAGATTGAGCTGGTTTGAATGACGCTTTGTACTCAGAATTATTGCGCTTAATATTTATCACCAGCTGCATGTGACAAGTAGTGGGGTTTGTTTTTTTCTTTTTTAAAATGCATTACCTGAGATATATTTCATCCTTTTAAATTATTTCCCCTGCTGATCATAATGATGGAATAAAAAATTGATGGTCCTAGCTTACTATTTGAAAAGACTAAAAGATACATACCTGCCTCCAAAGACACAAAATCAGCCATTCCTTTCCTAAAATTTAAAATAATGTGTGCAGTAACTTGCTTTCAGGGCAAGCCTGGCTTTTTACAACTTGGAGCAGGGTCAGCGGTACCAAGCCCTTGCCTTCCTATCAAACCTGTTACTTCTCTGTCTATTTAAGTATTTGTGGCAGTATCCCAGGAAAGTGAAATGAAGTGGGCTAATTCCTCTTACTGGATGATGGATTTCTCTTTTTGTAGTCAGATAAAAATGATTCCCTGGAGTGAGGAAGAGTGAATGGGACTGTGTTATTGAGGAAAGTGAAGCAATATTCTCTTAGGCTGGGCTTTTTTGTTTGTTGGAGAAATAGCCAAGCAGCCATTTGTTTCTGGCTGATGGTTGCATCAATAGGCAAATTTATTTGATTTCATGTGTTGCACATCAGGTGTGCGTAATGAAACTCATCTTGGCATGTTCATTTTCTACTTTTGTTCAGGTTAGATTCTCACGTTACTTTATTGTATAAAATCCCAAGAGGCTGCTTACTGCATGAAATTCAGATCACTTTGAAGGGATTTCTGCTTTTTTTTTTTTAAATTTAAAATTTTGGAGAATTAGGCCTAGTAGTTTACTGATAATGCTGTAAAAAATGATGCAAGTTCCATTGACTAACGCTGTGAACGTTTGCCATGCGATAGGCGCAAGGCAGTAGGTGCCTTTTGAAGTCTTCTATCATTTTATTTTGCGGTTGAGCTGAAGAAGTGCTGTCTGTCTGTATCGACACGTATATCTTCCTGCTGCCATTGACCTTCTTCCCTTCTTGATTATAAATTTACTGGAACGTACAGCAATGCGATCTGGCTTGATCTCTGGCACATAAACGTTGGTGTGAGTTATGAGAGTCTGGAGACGAAGCTGGTGACAGCACAGAGGAGCTGCTGCCAACCAGAGCCCCGTACAAAGCAGTGTGGAGGCCTTGCATCTCTGCACTGGGAACTCTGCATATTGTACTTAAGGGGAAAACCTGTGCTTTTGGCAATATTATGAGTTGGCATGGTTTCTGTCCTCTCCTCCCACTGTGTCCAATTGCCCTTCAAGGCAAAGAATTAAAAAAGATTACCTTGGTTAAAGCGATGTGATCTGTGACTGCTGCTTGCACAGCATGTGTCTGTGTTTTGAGAGGCAAGCCAATGGTATCTCCATTGCTTCTGCACCGCTATGATCTCGATCTCCTTCTTGCTCGTCCATGTGATTTTTAGTGTACCTTTACTTTTTTTTGGCACCTGTACTAAGTTTCACGTGCTCAAAGTATTGCAAAAATGTGTAGAATTTGTAACAGAGAGCTCAATCAACACATTTTTGCTTAATTTCCCTACCACAAAATTACACCATTTCAATTTATCCCTAATAAAATGCTTGTCCTAATAAATTCTGGTCCCTATCCCTTTTAACTATTAGTATGAGAAATTGGTAGAGTATTGAGCAGAGCACAGAAGAAGCTGATGCTGTCAATGAGAGCTCAAAGGCTGCAGAGGTGTAGGGCAGTCCTTCAGTCGAGGTACTTCTCCCATTTCTGCTTGAAATCTGAATTTTGTGTGTTTAAGGTGATTCTAACGTGTACCCAAAGATGAAAGGTATTTTTTCAGGTAGCCAGGGCATTTTACATTTTGCCTCCATCAAAGGCAATACCTTTTACTATTCACCTGAAAATCAATAGGGAGTTCATGGTATAAAGAGCGGATCTTAGAGAGAAATCATGCTCAGGAGGGCAGGCACCATGCTCTGCACCAGCTGCGGTTTCCATGCGGTGTTATTCTTGGAGCAGCAGGGAATATTTGAATGATCATCGGGAACTACCTGTATTTGTTGTTGGCATGATGTATTGTAGTATGCATTATGAATATATAGCTGACCATCATATTTCATATCTATGTTTGTGGATGGCTGCTCACAAGAAAAAGGATGACTTAAGTATTTGGATTTTTATATTTATAATGCTGAAACCTTCACTGAGGATGACTAACAGGGCTAAATGCTCTTCTGACTTTTTTTTTAAGTTGCAGAATTTCTTTT